AAAAAAAAAAAAAAAAAAAAAAGATTATAGCTCTGGTATTATACTTTGTAGATTTGAATACCAAGTAATTATATACTGGCTTTGTAGCCTTGGTTAAACCAATTTCTTCATCTCTAGATGGAATCACTACCACCACCATCATCACCAACATTTCTTGTCTTGCCATTCAAATTGGCCTAGCCATCTTCCTTAGTATATATGTCTGTTACATTAGCGATCATACATTTAGGTCCTCTGCCTCCCAGGTACATTGCCCTTTCCACTGAGTGTTATTGCATTGTTACCTCTTGTTCTTCCAGCTAGGAACAATATATTGCACATCACATATTAGCCTCTGCCCTTATTTCAGTTCTTTCTATAAGGATACTTTTATGGAAGTAAGTATATATTCTACAGTAGGGTGCTGCCCAGTCCATCAATGTAGGGATTGTGTGGAAAACCTTACTTTACCTATCCATACAAGATTGTACAGACCACCATGCTTTTTTTCACCGGCTGATTAAAAAGATAAAGTGTGATTTGTGATTCTCACATTTATCCTGTCCCCATCCTCCAAGTTACATAGGATGGGAAATATAAAAGGTTAAAAACTTGCTTTAGAGTTCCTGCCTGGACAGTATAGGGCATGGGATGGTGCACAGCCGGGTGGGGAAATATGAAAAAAGCTCTTCCTAGGTGATTGGTTCATCTCTGAGAAATTAATAGACTTTCGCTAAATGAATGTGTCCCTCCTCTAGCTGATCATACACTCAGTATATCCTGTCCCCTCTCAGAAGCTCTTTTATTGTTAGCAATCTGATTAGGGGCTGAAAATGATGTTCTTGTCTTGTATGCTTGTTAAGTTCACTTCAGGATGTATCAAGTACCTATTATGTGGAAGGCACTTTTAGAGATGCAAAATTGAATAATACAGGATAGATATACAAGTATCTATCCTAGAAGGTAGGCTGGGTAAGTGTTATACTATAAATATAATGGGAGAGAGATATTGCTTACACTTGCTGAAAGATGGGAGGAATAAAGTGGGTTCCTGGAAGGCCTGTAGGAGTTCAATTTACAAAGCCTTGTAGAAAGGCCTATATGGTCTTATCAAAGGGAGAGGGGCAATGCCAGGCAGCATGGAAAGGGCACATACTGAATTAAAGAGTTTTTCTGCAAATGATAGCTTCATTGTAACTGAAGTATATAGGGCATCGTAACAGAGAGGAAAGTCATGGCAAATAGGACTAGAAAAGCAAGCAACTGCTGCATTAGGGAGAGCTTCAATGCTAGACAAAGCAGTTTATATTTAAGGAAGAGCATAGCCAGGTGCCTCAATGCTTTACCCCATTGAATTTCTACCTAGAATGGTCTTTATTCATCTTTTAATCTCTACCCTGCACATTATTAGTTCTCATAAAATGTTTACCAAACAAATGAGTTAATTTATTCTTCTATCTAGAGGGCAGAAGTAGGCTGATAATGTCTGGAATTATGAGAACAACTGTGGATAAGATGATTAAAGATGAAGAAATGTCACCCGCCTTTGGGCGGGTGACACAGCAAGGAGCAGTTGTAAGAGTCTTGGCAGTAACCAGGAGAGCCTGTTCTAGAGCCATGGGCATGAAACAGGGATTTTATGCAGGGTGAATCATCACTGATGTCATAAGCAATTGGTTGACAGGGATAAGAGGGAAGCAAAGACAAGAGTAAAATATGATTTGTAGGTTTAGGACCAGATAAACTAGGAGAATTGATATTCATGGTGGAAACACACACACACACACACACACACACACACACATATATACACAATAATTTTTTAACAGAAGTCATTGAAATTCTTAGAGAACAAATTGTTTTCATTCAGAAGTTTTTTATATAGGAAAGTGAGGCTTTAAGGATTCATGCTGAAGGAAATAGTTAAATATAGAAAATTTTATTTTGTACAGGACACTAAGAATTAGGGCATAGAAGTGAAAAAGTGGGGCAGTTGGAGAACCATCAAGGGGCGTAATGAGAAGGTAGGAGGCAGGAACATAAGGAGAAAGATGGTCATTGAGAAAGTAAAGAGACCAAGTGGCAAAAAAAGACTCTTAAGAAC